GCCTGTGCCTGTTACACTTATGACTGACAGCTCAGCAAGGAGGGAGATATAAAAACCACACAAAAGCAGACACAAGGGAAACAAGGGGACGGCAACCCCAAAACTCTTGTAGGGCAGAGGGAGGGAAGGAGATGGATGGAACCTAAGAGCCGTGCTCGGGATGGCCAAGGCCTTCGTATGTTGCGCTGGGGACATGGCTGTTTGTTATTGTTTTTTACAACTGTTATTTTTAAAAAGCCACAAGCTGAAAATTTGCTTGCTCACTTTAAAAATTGACTGTAATTGCCTGGTGAGGCAGGGGGAAAATTATGAACCCAATTTGTAAGTGAGGGAAACAGGCTCAGTTTCAGAGAAGTTTATGGGACCTGAATCCATGTCTCTCTGATGTCAGTGTGGATCTTCTCACGTACAAGCACGTCAGCCTCAGGAGCAAAGCCTAGAGTTGTGAAAAATGTGAAAAAAAAACCCAAAAAAAACACTTTCCTTCAAAAGTCCTTTCGCTGCTCTTCTGGCTCCCATGCCCACGATGAGGAGGCCAGAAAGCATACCAGTGGCGGTGATGTCTCCTGGTGCTTGACCCTGGGGACCAGCTGACATCTGTCCCTGGGGCTGGAGTGAGGCTCCCCAGGAGTTGCCAGGACGTGAGTAGAGATCTGCTCAGCAGCAGCAGCAGCAGCAGGTGAGGCCCAGTTTCATTGGCCACAGTTCCCTTGATCTGAGCGCCTCGGCCCCATGAACAGAAAGGCCCAGGCCACGTGCCCCAGCAACTGTGTTCCAGGAGCCTCCTTGCAACAGGGCCCTGCTCCCAGGACCCTGGAGAGGCCCAATTATAAGATGTTGATGATTAAGCCCCAAGTGGCCTGGGACCCTGTTAGCTGTGGAAAGGCGGCCTCTTCCCTCTGTCCTAGTCCCAGGTGGATGGATGTGCTTACATGTCCCCATGTCAGCTACAGTTGTAGGCACAAATGCTCTGCGCTGCAACTGCCCAGCACCGGCAGGTCTTCTCCAGAAGAGAAAAGGCTGGCGGCCTCTTCAAGCACTAGGGGACAAGGTGCAGGGAAGGACAGAGAGATTCAGAGGGCAGGGGGTGCCTCTGTTCCTGGTGGTCTAGATCCCAGCACTGTGAACCATATAGACAAGGGCACCACTGTGGATGAATGTCACCATCCCAATGACCTTCCTTGATCACTATTGAAAAAGTAGCCTCAACCTCAGCATTTCCTGTTTTATTTTTTACCACTGGACACGGTGCTTATTTATTTCAGTATCTTATGTGTGTAAGTCCCTTGAGAGCAGATAATCTGCTCACTCACTACTAGATTCCAGGACATAGTCCTGAGCCTGGCACAGAGTAGGGAGTCAAAAACAAACAAACAAACAAACAAAAAAAAAACACTGGTTGAATGAATCAGCAGCTAGATGGATGAATCAAAGAGCCCAGGACAGTGCCAGCATGGAACAAGTGCAGAGTGACTGGCTTCTGTAATGTAGCAGTGACAATTACTATCCTCTACTCCTAGGGAATGACGGGAAGGGTGGCAACTTCCTCCCAGTTCCCCTTCCTCTATTTACTTTGTTATTTTCACTAAATAATGGACTCTGGCTACTACTTACTGAGCTGCAGTGATCAAAAGGCTCTGACTGAACATGATCTTGCTGAATCCTGACAATGGTGTAGTTAGTATCCCCATCACACAGACGAGAAAACTGAGGTTCACCCAAGGCCCATGGCTAATTCGCAGAGCAGCTGAGACGAAACCTGCTTGACTGAGCCTAGCAGCCCTTCCCAAACACCACCACACTGCCTGCCTCAGAAAACGTGCCTTCGCAAGGTTCTCATGACTTCCGGTGCTGTGGGCTATGCCAGAGATGAAATGAAATGCAAGAGACTGGATTCCTCTTTAGTGGGTGTGAAGTCTAGTGGGGGAGAGAAACCAGCCATCACAACACCCTGTGATGCATTCAGAACAGAAGCAGCCCGGGGGCTGTGGGAGCACACTGGTGAGCCACCCAGCCCCACCTGGGGCCAGGGAAAGGCAGAGGCTTCCCAGTGGAAGTGGTGTCTAAACAGGAACCTGAGAGAGAGCAGACAGGCTTGGGGTTGGGGAGATGGTGTTCCTGGTAAGGGGAGCAAAGCCTGGGGGCGACAGAACAAGAGCACAATTTGGGGTTGTAGGGGGGTTGAGAGAAACTGTAAATGAGTGTTGAGTGACCGATGGAGGTCAGGCTGGAAGGAGAGGCCAGGGACAGGGCAGGTGGGCAGGTGCCAGAAGGCTGCAGGCTGTCACAGTCCTGAAACTCTCAGGATGTTGCCTTCTTCCTCTTATGTTAGGAACAGCCCTAGATCCAGGGCACCTACCCCTGCCTCAGCCAGAGCAGGCAACTCTTCTCTCCATGCTTGATAATTCCAAGCCCTGGGGGATTGCAGTGACCTGGTCAAGTCCATAGGCGAACAGACGGCACCTCCTCCTTTCCTTAGCACCCCTGCCTCTGCATCTGTCCCAGTCACTCAGCATGTATTTTTGAAGAAACCAAGAGTGAGGACACAGAAGGGAACAAGTCTCTGTCCTAGGGGTGGACTCCCTGGGTCCTAGATCTTTCATTCCCTCTCCCCACCTCTCTCTGCCCCTTGAAGTTAGAGCAAGGTCACACCCTAAGCTAAGATTCAGCAGGAACTGAAATCTCTAGTGCTAACCCTCCCAAATCACTGATAGATTGAGCATCCCTAATCTGAAAACCTGAAACCCAAAATGCTCTAAAATCTGAAACTTTTTGAACTGTATAGATTTTGGAGAATTTAGGGTTTTGGATTTTTCTGATGAGGGATGTTCAACTGGTCAAATCTCTGTGAATATTGCAAAATCTAAAAAAACCCTGAAATTAGAAACACTTCTGGATCCAGGTATTTCCTCAACCTGCATCAACAATCATGTCTTCAGAGGAGGCAAGGGAGCTGGATGCCATGAACTGTGCACCCAAGGGTATGCAGTTATGGGGACAAGTCTGCCCGGGGCTGGGCACTTAGTAAGCAAAACATGTTCTTCTTTCTTTGACTCATTCAAAATTCCAAACATGGTACTTCTGGATCCTGAGAAGAATTAGAAACTGGCCAGGCCTCAGCGGGTGGCTCACGGGGCGGGGCAGGAGCAAGGCCTGGCTTTGCCCGGGAGGGCCGTGCAGAAGGCACAGGAGGAAGAAACATACATGAGTGTCTACATGTGCCCAGAATGGCCGAGAGCTCCTCTACCTCTGCTGCCCGAACTTATGTTTTAGTTCACCTAAAAATTGTCCCCCAAATCCTGAGGGGAGACAAGGATTAGTTGGTTCTCTTCTGACACAGGAGGTGAGACACAGAGTGATGGGGGTATCTGGCCAGAGGGAATCCTCATGGAAATGGCAGAACTCAAACAGACCCGGAGCCCTTTTCAATCCATAATGGACGGAATCTTTTAGGCTTCAAGGCTCCCTGAGACCAGTCTCAATGCTGACTCCCTTTCCTCCCTGCCCCCTGCCCCCAAGGGGAGGAGGAACATTGGAAAACATGGCAGCAGGGCCATCCCGTCCACCCAAGCAGCGGAAGCCAACAAGAGGCCACCGCAGAGCACCAGCCAGGCATGACTCCAGGGCTGCCCAGGACAGGGGGTGGAGTGGACATCCCTGGGGCTGCCCTGTGGAGCTGGGCAGCCTCCCTAATCATTCGTCTGAAGGAGCGCACTTAAGCTGGCTAACAAATCCCTGCCCACCCAGGATAGAGAGCTGGTGGCCACCATGCACCCACAATGTGGCTGGAAACGTAGGACCTGGGAGCCAAAGACTCGGGCCTCCCTGTCCTACCCAGGACGCAGGTTCACATCAACTCCTGACATCAACTCACCCTGCGGTCACTGCACAGCGGCTGTGTCCCTATGTGTAGCAGACACACAACAGACATCATTTTTGCCCGCATGGGGCTTGTCTCCAGGGAATGTGATGTTCTAGAGTTCTCTGGAGAAACGCACACACCAAGCTGCTGCCCACCTCCATGCCACGGCTCTGGCTGACCCTCTCCCTGGTATCCCTTTCTGGCCTTGCATGGCCTGGATCACCTCTGTCATGCTTCAACATTCATTCTGGATGTCACCTTCACTAGAGAGGCCTAGCTGGGGTCTGGCATAGAGGTCCCTCTGTTTTCCCAGAAGGCCCTGGGGTTACTGCTTCCCTATGTGCCTCCCAGTGAGTGTTTTGGGCTGAGTCCTGGGTCTGGGCAGTACCCTCTGGCACAGTGCCTGGCACTCTGCTAGGATCCAGTAAACATCTCAAGTACAGGAGAGGATGTACCACGTGACCTGGAAGCAGTCACTGCAGGGCCTCGGCTTCCTCATCCGTGGAGCAGGTCTTTCTGGGTCTAAGAGGCTGCAAACATGAGGGTGGAGGTGTATCCTGGTCTTTGAGGAACGGGCCAGGTCTCCAGGGTGTCCAAGTTGGGTGTTCATCATCTTGGCTTGGCCCCCACCAAAGCCACAGGCGGGCCAAGGCCTGCAGCAGCCTTTCCCGGGGCCAGCTCCTCTTTCAAGTTCCCTTTATCCACAAGAACTGCACCAGACGCCCACCTACTTCAGCATAAGGGGCCTTTGGAAGGTTCTGGATTATCTGAGGCTTCAAAGAAGCACCACACCTCTTGGCCACAGGAAGAGAATTCCAGACTCCTCAGAGCAGAAGTGCAAAACCTCACCTCTGTGCTCTGCTTCCCCAGCTTTCCTGAGCACCTGGTTCCCTGGGGATGGAGTTAAAATGTGGATTCTGGTGAAGCAAGACTCGGGCCCTGGCCTGTGCGCTTCCCAAGCAGAAGGAGTGGAGGCGCTTGGTTCTCAGTGCACCCAGCTCTGTGCTCTCCCATTCCTGGGAGAGGGCACTGGATGGGTCCTGCCTGGGCTGGGTGCTTCTCCAGGAGAAGCCACAGCCCCCATTCCCAGGTATTCAAGCTCTCCCAGGGAAGGCAGGTCTCGGGCCCACATGGGAAGGTTCCCGGAGGTGACGGCAGCTGGGGTGGAGCCAGGCCCTTCTCTGGACAGCGACCATCCGAGCTGGTAAAAGTGATCATCTTTCAACCTGGAAATGGATTTCCAGAGGCCCCACGATGGGGACAGGAGTGGGGTGGAGGTTGGGGGGCAGGAGGGGGAGTGCGGATTCGCAATAGCAGCTGTGTTCCTAATTTCCCCAGGAGGAGGCCTGGCCGCCCCTCCTCCGCGCTGAGTGTTTGCCATTAAAAACAAACAGTATCATTTGGTTCAATATAAAATGAATTAAAGGAAATTAAACTGCGGGGGCCATGTGGTGTGCCTTGTCTCCCATTGTCTGGGGCCGTTTTTCATCTTCCCCAGCGGGGAACAACAGCTTGGGGGGTGTGGAGCTGGGCAGGACGAGTCCAATAAATAAGGAAAGCGGCGGCCTCCTACACACCCGTGGAGGCTGGGGTTCAGGAAATCCCAGGTGCCCGTGGGGCCCTGTCCCTGCCAGGTCCCTTGGCGGTAGAATGTGGCCTTTGAGAGTCTTCCAGGAAACGGAGTGAAGGAAAGAAAACAAAACAAGAACAACAAAAAAAAATGTGTTGTCCCCAGAGACAGAGAAGGGGGTGCTGGGTGGCTGAAGGAAGAGGCTGTGGGTCAGAGGGGGCCAAGCTGGAGCGGGCGGTGCCTGGTTGGCAGGGCGTGGTTCTGATGTGTCCTGTGGTGTGGAGCAGTCACGCTGTCACTGCAGTTGTGGCAGCTGGGCAGCAGCATGCAGGTGGGGAGAGGCAGCAGCTGGGCAGTGGTTAAGGATGTTCATTCTGGCAGGGCACAGGGGCCCATGCCTGTAACCCCAGCAACCCTGGAGGCTGAGGCAGGAGGATTGCAAGTTTGGGGCCAGCCTCAGCAACTCAGCAAGACCCTGTCTCAAAACTTAAAAATAAAGAAAAAGGGTCTGGGGACATCACTCAGTGGTAGAGCACTCTCCTAGCATGCATGAAGCCCTGCCCCTGCCCCAGAAAGAATGTGGGTTCTGGAACTAGAAGCCAGAATTCAACTCCCAGCCCTGCCACTTATTTACTAAATTTGGCAAGTCACCTACCTTCTCTGTGCCTCAGTTTCTTCATCTGGCAAAATGGTGGTAAATATGAGTATCTACCTTGTAGAACGCTACGAGGATGAAATAAGTCAATAGAGTCAGGACAGTGCTAGGCGCATTAACTCCCTGTCATTACGTTCTGTATTACACATAACATTTATTATTCTATTTTTGCTGTAGGCTCCGGGGGGCATCTCCTGTGGCATCTGAAAGACTTGGCCTTTCAATTCATTGCTCCAACACAGACTTGCTGTGTAACCCTGGGTAAGGTAAGATGCCTTGCTGAGCCTAGGTCTTTCATCTATATATGAGGGATAAACAAACATCTGGGGACAGAGACCGCTGGTGCCTCTTAACATCCCTTCTTCCCTTCCTCTTTCAAAGTAAGAATTCTGACTTTTGCTTAGGTCCATTGGCACCAGCTGCAAGAGGACAGTCTGGTCTGCTAGGCGGCTAAGGTGACTGAGCAGTAGCCAAGGAAATGAGTGGAAGCAATGAGAGCAATTCTGGGGACGTCACCTCCAGAGATGGAGGAACACGCATTCCAACGAACGCAAAAATCTTAATAGGACAGAAGCATGCAGAATCCAAAAGCCTGGTCAAAGAAAAATACATCCTGCTTCAGGGGAGTTCGTTCCAGGACACAAAGGCTAACGGGAAATCTGCTAATGCAGCTCCACATAGCAGTAGCTAGGAGGAGGAAGATCAAATGGTTTTTGCTCTAACTCAACAACCACTTTAGATTTTTAAGATGTTGATAACTGGACTGGATATGTTCTTGACATTGTAAAACACTGGCTTTGACCTCAAAGATGGCACCTGGTTGGATGGGGGACTGAGAGGGTTAGGTTTCTGAGCCAATTCAGCTTGCCAGGCCCAACACTAATCTAAGTCTGGCCAGAAGGGTGTCTTGTGGGTGTGGTGAACATCTATAGTCAGGTACCTTAAGTAACAGAGTTTGTCTTCTATCATCTGGGTGGGCCTCATCTAATCCACTGAAAAACCTTAAGAGCAAGACTGAGATGTTTTTCCTTGGAAGAGAAAATTCTGCTTCAGGCTGCAGCAGCAGCACCTGCCTGAGATCCCAGCCGGCCCTGCCATCATGCAAGCCAACTCCTTGAAATAAACTTCTTAGGTGCACGTGTTCTACTGGTTCCGCTTCTCTGGAGGAGCTGCCTGGTGCAGGCAGGTGAGGGGCATTCCCAGGGAGGTCGGCTGCCTCGGCCAGGCAAGCACACATCAAACTGCAAGGGACCTCCCCAGGGCTGAGGATTCTGGGTAAAGCTGAAAGCAGTCCATCCTAAAATCTAGCAGTTCCATTTTTAGATGGTTATTAGAGAAACTTCTGTGTATGTGTGCAGAGATGTTTGTTATTGTACTGTTCATGATAAATAGTAAAACACTAAAGAAAGAGTCTAACAGCTCATAGTAGGGACTAGGGGACTGGATGGCTAGACCAGGGGAAATATGACCCTTAAAAAAAGAATAAATGGAGACTTAGAGCTACCCATGTGGGTGATGATCACTGGTATGCATCAGATCACCCAGAGTGTTTGTTAAAGCCCAGGGCCAGGCCTCAGCCCTTGAGTCGCTGACTCAGGTCATCTGGGGCAGAGTCTGTGAAATTCTAACAAGTTGCCGGATGATGCTGAGATCGCCAGTTCAGGGGACACACTTGGAGTGGTGCAGATGAACACAAACTTCAAAAATACAATGTAATGTTGCAAAATGATGTGCACTCAGTATCACTGGTGTTAATCTGTTATGTCGGAAAACATACTGTATCTTGTTTATGGATATACATGTGTAGCAAATAAACTAAAGTGGTGACCTCTAGGGTGGGAGAGAGAATAAGTACATTTCAGAGGATGTGGCAGAGATACTGCCACTAAATTCCTCAAATCCCAAGCAGTTTCCCCAGGCCCTCAGGCCTCAGGAGGGCAAGAGTCTCCCAGATTGCCGTGCTGTTAGGTGAGGCCTCCTAACTGAGTCCTGGGCAACAGGGGATCGAGGGTGCAGTGGATCTGCCTTACTTCCTGGTGCCTAAAACTTTCCAGGCACTCCTCTGAGTTCCCCTTCCTTATTGCCCTCCTTGGTGCGAAGCTTCCTATGCCCCTTTCGACTCAAAGTGTGGCCCATGGGCCAGTTATATCAGCATCACCAGGGAGTTTGTTAGAAATCAGAATTGCAGAGGGAGGCCCAGGAATCAGTGTGAACAACTCACCAGATGATTTTTATGTACATTTAAATTTGAAAAACAGGGTCCCAGGGGAGTCCTAGGGGATGGTGGTTTCACTCCCTAGGGAAGCCTGGATCCCTAAATGACTGCATGGAGCAGTCGGAGCATCTTGGCTGACTTGCACTAGACTATGGTGACAAGGCAGTAAAGCACTGGCCTCTGCCATTGAGACTCTGATGTTCTTTGGCAACAGTACGTGGTTTCCCCTAATTAATACCGAAGGGAAACAACTAATACAGGGGGTATTAACTGTATTAATTAACAATTAATACAGTGAGGCCAGTTGGGTGGGGTTTAAGCTCTTTAAAAGAGGAAATGTAGGTAAGAACAACAAGAGTTATAGGTACAGAGATCTATTATCTATCCTTTTCAGCACATTTGTAATATTTTATAACTTAAAAATATTACAAAGTAATCTAGAAATGAAAAATCTCAGATTTATACAGGTGACCGACCAGGGACAAATGGAACAAAGAGGGTGTTATGGTTTGGATGCGAGATGTCCCCCAGAAGCTCACATGTAAGACCATGCAGGAAGGTTCAGGGGAGAAATAACTGGGTTGTAAGACTCTAGACCCAACCAGTGATTTAATCCCCTGATAGGGATTAAGTGAGTGTCACTGAAGAGGTGGGTGTGGCTGGAGGAGGCGGGGATTGGGGCATGGCTTTGGGGGTCTATATTTGTACCTAGCCAGTGGAGACCTCTCTCTGCTTCCTGATCACCATGGTGGGAGCCCTGTCCTCTGCCACAAGCTCCGCCATGATGTTCAGCTTCAGCTCTAGGCTGGAGAAATGGAGCTGGCCTTCTCTGGACTGAGACCTCTGAAACCGTGAGCCTCCAATAAGCTCTTCCTCCTCTGTAGTTGTTCTGGTGAGATCCTTTAGTCACAGCAGCGAAAAAGCCAACTAAAAGCCGGGGAATGAGGATAAAGCACTACCCAAGAGACAGGTGGTGGCAGCGCACCCCAGGGCGTCACTCTCTCCACTGGGGCCCATACGGCCAGATGACTCCTCTGCTGCTATGGGTATCGCTGGCAAGAGATGGACAAGTTCCTTCTCTGATACCTACAGTGGCATAATCACCTGTTATCAGTTTTTGGTGACTGCTATTAACAAAGCACCACAAACTGTAACAACACAAGAGACATTCACTCTCTCAGCTGGGAGGCCAGAGTTCTGAGATCAGTTTCAAAATCAAGGTGCTGAGGGGCTGGGGTTGTGGCTCAGTGGTAGAATGCTCGCCTCGCACAGGCGGGGTCCTGGGTTCGATCCTCAGCACCACATAAAAATAAACGAAATAGAGGCATTATGTTCAACTACAACTAATAAATAAATAAATATTTTTAAAAAATCAAGGTGTTGACTGGGTCACGCTCCCTCTGGAGACTCAGCCTCTTCCAGCTCCCTCCGGGCAGCCCCCAGCATCCTCTGGCTTGTGGCCACACCACATGATCTCCCTCTTCACACTAACTTCAAAGTCAGCAAATTTTTCCTTGAAGGAGCAGACGATAAATATTTTGGATTTCTTTCAATTTTTCAATCTCTGTCACCTCTCCTCAACTCTGCCATGGTAGCTCAACAGCAGCCACAGACAATACATTAGTGAATGGGCGCTGAGTGTGTCCCAATAAAACTTTATTTACAAAAACAAGTAGTGGGCCACAGAGTGTAGTTTGCAGATCCCTGATCTAGATTCTGGAGCACAGTGTGTCCTGTGCCACTCAGGAAAAGGGTTCCCTGGTTGAGAAGCTGGGAAAATGTCAGGGAGAACCAAGGGCATGATGGATTGCAGGACTTCTTGAAGTCTTCCCTATGATAATGTGAGAGGGGGGATGAGGTACAGAGCATCTCTCCATTATGTGACCACAGAACATTTTCTTATAAAATGGCTCGGAACATCTCCTGACAGCCCCAGAATTACAGGTCAATGAATTTTCTTTCATTCCACCCTGATTCTGGTTAGATTAGGACTTTCTTGCTTGATTTACACACAGATGGCTAGTGCTTCCGACTTCCCTAGAACAACCATAATCACCTAACCCTCCAGCACTTGACCCGGGGTAGTTAATCCCCATAACGGTGTGCAGAGGTCAGTCCTGCTAGGCCCACTCTAAACATGGAAACACTGAGGCTCAGTGGGGTTAATCCCAGAGGCAGATCGGGGTGGATTTAGAATTCGAACCTAAGTTTAATTTCAGAATGTGTGTCCTTTCTGGGACCCCACCAAGCCACCAGAGTTAATTTCTTGTCTCTCTCTCCTGCTTACACACTCTAGATTCTTGGCAATGACAGAGAGGAAGTTTTCTAAAAGCATAACACCCACCAAACATCAGGTAATGTCAGTATTGCTAACAATGGTGTCCCTGTCTCTGGCTTTCTGTTCTGTTTGGCTGAAATCCAATCACAAGAGGACAACACCTCCAAGAACAGCTGCAGGTAGACACTGTACCCTCGGGCTCGGCCCCTGGCTCGCTGCTTACAGCCGGGTGGCTTTCCTCAGGATGCTCAGTTTCCTCATCTGTACCACGGGACTGATAACAGTACCTACCTCAGAGTGCTGCTGTGAAGATCAATGACATATGCAACTGGCATATTTCAGATGGTAGGTAAATACACAAATAGGAAGAAAAGCCAGGTGACATTAGCTGCTCTTTAGGGTTTGAATCCTACTTTGCCATCTGCAGGCCTGGGGACGCCTGACAATCTAGTTGGCCTCCCTGAGCCTCAGTGTTATCTGTCCCATGGACTGAAGTAAACTTGGCCAGCCTCCTGAGAGTCACTGTAAGGGCTTTTTAAAGGGATGGGCTATCTCAGTGAATAAGACAGACCTGTAAATGCCCCTGAGACTTATGGTCCAGTGGGGGAGAGTCTGGCCACATAATTACAGAGCAGCGTGGTAAGTGCTGGGAGAGAGGAGGAGCTCATAGGAACTTACACGAATGGGACCCACATTATCTTAAAGGGATCCAGGGGGAAGTGACATCCAAGCTGAGTCCTGGAGAGACACAGTCAAAGGGTCAAAGAGGGCTACGAAATCCAAAACCATACAAGTGTCCACAAAGGAATCCGTGAAAATATCTTTGCCTGGGTGTAGTGGCACACACCTGTAAACCCAGCTACTCAGGAGGCTGAGGCAGGAAGATCGCAAGTTCGAGGCCAGCCTGGGCAACTTAGCAAGACCTTGTCTCAAAGTGAAATGAAAAGGGCTGGGGATGCAACCCAGTGATAGAGCACTTGCCTAGCACTTGAGGTCTTGGGTTCAATCCCTAGGACTGAAGAAAAAATCCATAATAAGGCCAAACGGCTTCCAGGACATACAAACCCAGCTGTTTTAAAAAGGGCTGTTATGTACGTAAACCAGGAGCACTGAGGGCCACCTCACCATGCTATCTGAGGTTGTGTGACGGGCACCTCCGAACCCCCCCATCTTAATGCCCAGGACTGTGGCCATAAGGAAAAAGCCCACCTGGATGATGGTACAGGCCATGTGACCAAAGGGACTTTACAGATGGCAATAAGGTTACTGGTCAGTTGAGTCTGAGCTCATGAAAAGAGAGGTCGTCTAGGTGGGTCTAATCCAATCACTTGAGCCCTTTAAAAGCACAGTTTTCTCTGGCTGGTGGCAGAAGGGGAAACCAGGGAGACCACAGGCAGGATCTGATGGGCTGGACCGTCATGTGTCAAGATCAGAGAGAAGCTTCCAGGAGCTGCAGATGACCCCGGGAATCGCACCAAATTCTGCCAACCACCTGAGCAGCCTGGGAGTGGATTCAAGTCTAGAACCTCCGGATAGGAGCACTCCCTGATGAGCCAAGGCTTTGACTTGGCTCTTCAGACCTTTGACCTCCAGTCAAGTTGTTAAGTTAGAGGTCACTGAAAAGTTAATACAAGGACATGTGTGTGTGTGTGTGTGTGTGTGTGTGTGTGTGTGTGTGTTTACTATTATCCCAATTGATAGGTGAGAAAATGAAAGCAAAAAGAAGAGAGATGATCTTGCTAAGGTCACACAGCTGGTGAATGGAAAAGGGATTCCCAGACAGGATCTGGACCCAAGCAGCCAGTTCCACCATTACCCCAGGTTAGGGGAACACTCTCCAGGATGGGGAAATGGGTCCCTGAAGCCAGCAAGCTGCGGCTGTGTGTGGACAGCTCCTATTTGAAGATTGTGAGCTGAGCAGGAAGCACACTGCGTGTACACAGGTAGGTGTGACACAGCTAGGAAAGATTCAGGGTAGCGTTTTATCCTCTAGAAGGGGAAGTGGGCCTCTGGGGGCAGGAAAGAAGACTTCTGACTGTATACCATGTCCTGTTTTCCATGTTTTGAACTTTGAACCCTAGGATTATGTTTCCTATTTACAAAATAAATAATGATGAATAATTTGACTGTGGTAAAAAGACATCTGAACCAATACAGAATGCTTTCCAAAAAGCAGAGAGCTAGGGGTGAACTGGTCTGAAGTATATTAGACTATTAGGTGTCCTAACGAGGCCTGAGTGGCTTTCACAACATAACTAAGTGCCAGAGGCCGGAAGCCCAAGGTCAAGGTGTTCCTTCTGAGGCCTCTCCCCTCGGCTGGAGGATGGCCGCCTTCTTACGGTGTCTTCATATCACCTTCATCAATGCAAGTCTGTGTCCAAATGTCCTCTTGGCATAAGAGGAATATTCCATGAGGGCCCACCCTAGTAACTGCCCTTTCACATCATTACCTGCTTAATGTCCATATTTCTAAATATAGCCATAATCAGCCAGACAAAGTGGCCCAGACCTGAAATCCCTGTGAGTTGGGAGGCTAAGGCTAGAGGATCACTAGTTTGAGGCCAGCCTCAGCTACTTAGTAATTAATTAATTAAAAAAAAAGAGCTTGGGATGTAGCTCAGTGGTAAAGCGTCTCTGGGTTCAAACCCCATTAACAACAACAGAAATCAGGCACTTTGGGTCCAGACTATAACATAAATTTTGAGGGACACAATTCAGCCCCTATTAGGGGAGCTGTCCCAGGGCCCTCAGCAACCTTTGACCCAGTTTCTTTACTTCAACGCTACGGACATTTGGGGCCACGTATTCTCAACCATGCCACCGTCCTGTGCACGGTAGGACACGTAGCGACGTCCCTGACCTTTACCCAATAAATACCGGATGCACTTCCCCGCCAATTGTGACACAAAAAACACATCTCTAGAAATTGCATTCACCTCCCAGCAGGGTGGGGGAGACAGGAGATAAATAAAGACAGAGCAATCGGAGACCCATCAGGGACTGGCACACACAAGGAAGGAGGAGAAGTGACAGTGAATAATGCAGGGTGGGAAAACCACTTTCAACAGGAGGGGCCCTCCGAGGAGGTGACATTGGAGTCAGGCTCTGAATGATGTGACAGGGACAGCCCAGCGAACAGCAAGAGGAAGACTGCCCAGGCAGAGGCCACGGAAGTGCCGAGGCCTGAGAAGGAAGATGCTGGGGGCAGGGGTAGGGGACGTCCCCGGGTCACCAGGGTTGCAGGTCCAACATGAGCAAGGTGCGGAGGGAGGCGTGGGGCAGAAGGCAGATCCAACAAGCCCAAGATGTACGAGTGACAGAAAAGTCATTTCCATCTGAAATGACAAGTGGCAGCTCAAGACACCCGGCCAGCCAGGGTAGGGTTGAGA